TGTTCCTCCAAGCGGGACATACTTAAAAGATGTACTTTTTCCTTCCATCTCATGCTCAAAAAAATGATCAAGTTGCTCTGACTTTAAGGTGTTATCAAATAGGAAAAACTGCTTCAAGTATATACACAGCACAGACGATTTTAGTTTAATTTACCACAAAATTTTAAAGTATTATTTTAAAATACTAAAACTCAGAGCTTAATAAATAGGCAACAACAATGGTTTTACTTAAAACATACATCAAAAACTTGAGGAGGTTTTGATTTTCTTACCTCTGTGCATCACTTTCAGTAGCTCAAACCACCCGTAAATACAGGGATACGATTCTCCAGGTGCTTGTGGAGGCTGCAGCAAGCCATGCTGTGATGGAAGCCAGGCTTCAAACCATCACCCAGGGGAGCAGCACCAGCACCCAGCTTCATTTGCAAACTGCTTTTTCCTGACAAAGTGGGAAAGTGGAAAACCCATGTACCAGACCTTGCTGTTGCTCCGTGCTTCTGCCCTGTAGACAGGATTTCGAGGTTACAGGAAGGGTCATGTAAATGTCACTTCTCTTCAACAGAAACTAGTCAACTATGGCACTAAGCCCAGCATAAAGCTCATTTCTGATTTCTAACTGACAGGTACTTCTCATTCCAAGCTAGCCCAGGATCCCCTCTGTAGGGCCTTTGCAGGTTTGCTCTTAACTCCTTTCGTTCCCCTCCTTTCAGAAACCTTTATAAGCAGGCAGCACAAGTCAGGCCACGGAAGTTCCTCTGGAAACACTCAGTCCCTGAAGGCTTAAAACTCACTTGAAAGTTGTTTTTTTTTCAATCACAAATATCAGGTACCGTTATCCCTGCACACTTACCAAGTGCATTTTCCTGGGGTTTGGTTTCCAAAAACCCCTCAGTCTGCAACACTCCTCTCCCCATCCCCTACCAGCTCAGGGAAGGGCCAGCTAAATCCCTCAGGAACAGAGCTTTCTTGAAGAATACTTTAAGCTCCATTTCTGGAGGAGAGGTCTAATAAGAAATAGTATCCTGAGCCTTGTCCATATTGGGTTTATAACACACATCCAACTCCTCCATGAAATTCACAAGGGACTAAGGGGAAGAAAACCTCTGTATGTTACAATAGTTTTGGTCAATTTTTCTGTGCAGCCAAAGCCTCAGCCCTTTTTTCTTTTTTTAAATTGTTTTTGTAGTCACACAGCAGATATTAGTGGGAGGGAAGAATATGAAGTTACTACCATTTGGAAAGCAACTTCTCCCCTTTCTCACACTAACATACTTAAAGACCTTCTTCCGGTGCAGTCCTGACACCAAACTCATTCAAGCCAGCACAAGAGTAAAACAGCATCTCCATCACAGATTTTCCTTTGCTAGTCTAGGGACTTGCCTACACCAAAAAGAGGTATTCTCCTTTTAGGATTTAAGGAGGGGAGAATTAACTTACCATAGAAATTAACTCCTTGGGGAATTCAGTTCCTACTGAACTTCCAAAGTGGTTGGGGGAAAGGTGGTATTTGGGCACATGTTCTTACCTTGAAGTTTCTCTGTGGGAGTTTCAGAGCCCATTCATTTGGAAAAGCTAGGCAGAAAATTTCATGTAGATGGTATGATTTCTTTTCAATGTAAGTCAGAAGAAAAAAAAATCCAATATGCTCTTGTCTTTACAGAATGAAACACTTTCTAAGACAGTGTAGGCCTATAGTAATTTTTTTTTCCAGACTACTTAAACAGAAGAATTGTTTATTCTACTGATTATGTGTGTCTCTAGGAAACCTCCCCATTCTACTTGGACTGATCTGTGGAAAATATTTAGCATTTGCTTGTCTATTCTCACTGTTCAGATTTCTTTTCTTCAAGATTGGTAAAAGATTCTCCACCTCAAGACAGTAAGCATGGCTGTACTTTCTTAGTAGTATATTTGATTTTGCTATTGTATCCAAATCAGTATACAGAGATATATTATTATAACTATTATAATCTAAAACCTAGGAACAGGCAGAACTACGGCAGTTTATTTCACAGGAAGTGCCCCACTGTGTATGTTGTCAACCCATAAATCTGGTCTGAATTTTAAACTAACACACAGAACTGTCCCATGACTGTAAGTCACCCATGTGATACTAAGAACAAGATAATTAACTCCTCCCACATGAGAATTAATTTGTACACCCACGCAAGAAGGTAACAGATCTAGTTATATGTAAAATGTAGTAATTTAGATTGCTTCTTCAGAGATCTTAATGGCCTGAGAAAACATTTAGATACAACTTCTCTAAGCATTTGAGACAGTATTAACTGAGCAGTGAGCAAACCTGATGTGTTTATAGAAATCAACATTCTCGAAAAGAAGTAAATTAGCTGCAGTACAGGAAAGACTACCGTGCTATCAAGCAAACTGCAATTTTAGAAAAAAAAAACAAAACAAAAAAACCACAACAAAAAACCACCCTAGATTTTGAAGAAACACTTAATTATGTTGGTGAAAAACATGTAATAGTAAGAATACACACAAGCATATAATTTCAACAAAAAGGCCTGAATAATTTGAAGAGTGTTTTGCTTCAGCATCATGAAACTTGAAGTGAAAGGTAATATATTCTGGAAGCCATGAACAGTGAACCAAGTCTAAAAATTAGACTTCCTTTCTTTTATTCTGAAACAGTTTTGTTTGGAAATAGGTACTGGACCAAAAGGGTACACAAAAGAGACATATGTATCTATATATACACAATAATTTTCCTTTATTAACAAGGTATGTCATTACTGAACAAGGCAACTGGGAAATACAAGGACTGGACATATACATGAAAACTTTACAACTCAACAAAAAATTGGCATATGACTTATATACAGATGCAATTAATAAAGGTTACAAGACTACCATATTTGATTGAACACAGTCCTAAGCACTTACATTATGAAAATATGCAGTTGATCATACAGAGGTCAAGTTCTGGAATCTAAAAATAATAACAATTTTAAAACTTCAAAACCTCCTATGTCCATCCATTTTACAGAATATCACTACAGCTTTTCCTACTACCATATACATGAAAGATTATCAAAAATATATTGATGGGTCTATCACTAATAATGAATGTTTATATTTACAATAAGTTAGCAAATTCTTCACCAAATACTTTATATACAAAACTCAATTTGCCCTTTGTGAAAGTCATTAAAAAGTTAAAAACCATAGAAATGCCAGTTAGAAATAATGCATTCCAAAAATTGTACTTGTTTACAACAACTGAGAACAACTGAAAATAATTTATGAACAAGTATGTTGTTTTAGTACATGTACTCTCACAACACTTTAGTTCCAACATAGAGTAGCAGGAATTTTGTCTTGTGTGTTGAGTGGTATCTTCTCTTCCAATAAAGCTGCAAGAAAAAATAATAAAAAAAAATATTCTTAAGCGGTTTGTTGTGAGTCTTTGAAGAAGGCAGAAATAATTCAAGGGACCAATATTCTTTCCCCTTTTCTCAGTGCAGGAAGCCCTGTCCCCATTTGTATTGGCCCAAATACTCAGAATTCTTATTGCTTTGAACACTCCTAACAAAATTAGTCTTATCTGCCAAAACAGAAACCCCTCCAACCTGTCTCTCAACTGAAAAAGAGCTTGGACAGGAATCAGACATTCACTTGCAGGCACTTCCACATAGGCACGAGCACCTTAGGAATTCTGCAACACAAAACATTGATGCTGGATGAATCTACACATACTAAGGATCAGACAGCTACTGGAACACCGACTCTCTTGGAATAATGTTCCACTCAGGCCCATCTGAGCACCAGAAATCAGTTTAAGAACACAGAAGTACAGTTTACAGTGCTTCCAGGATGAGAAAATAGGAGATGGATCAGTTGCTAAGGTCTCAGCTCACTTCTTCACATAACAGGCACTAAGGAAATAATGCTGTGGTTCTTCACTCAATCTAATCAGTACAACACAATTGTTCGCAATGCACCACGAAGTCAAAGTGCTGACACGACATAACAAGCAAAATTAGATCTCGCCGTCAAATCCAAGTGAAATGGACTGAATTTCCCTTTTTATCTCTCGAGATGCCGAATGCATCTTCTATACCTGCTGTAGGGAATCCCTATCTTCCAATTCCACCAAAGTCTCTCCATGTGCTATTCTATTTATTCTTCAAACTCCATAATGACCAACTCTTAATCTGTTTTTTTGTAAACGATAAGGATGGAATGGGATCTCAATCATGTTTAATCTATGCAGACATGCTCCTAGCCTTAGAAATCTTGTCTCCTCTTGTTTCAGACAGCCCTCCATTCTTTGGCTTTCCTCCTAAGTAATTACTCTCTAACTTGCCTTCTGGTTCATCTTCCTTACTGTCAAATCAAACTCTCTGGGAGGAGTATAACATCTTCGGCCTTCTCTTTTCTCTATCCTGTTCCTAAGTAACTTTATGCAAAATACAAAATCCAGTTATCTTCTCTGTGTTGATGATGTCACACAGATCAAACTTCTTCCAGTTTACTGCTTCTCTCTACACATTTTCACACCTGTTCCTGGATATCCATCTAGCAATGCCTCCTCCTCCAATTTCAAGTACTTTTCACCACAGCCTTTATTGACAAACTTTAGCAATCTGAGCATCCTGCTTTGGTTACACACCAGTGAGAAATGGTCAAATCTTCAAATCTTTCTTGTCCCTACACCTTTACAAGCAATAACTACAAGCATTTTGCAGGCTTTCTGCAGCCTCTCTCTAAAAAAAAAATCTTCTGCTTAGTCCACTTGTATGTCTAAAACTCTAATCCAGGCCCCGAGCCTTTCATTTTAAATTGGGTAACTCTTCTGATTCAGGTACATTCATGCAGTGCTGCTGGCACATCTTAAGGTGAGATGCAAGAGCAGTGAGCAACTGAAGCTACATAAGTAGCTCTGATAATGTATATGAAACCCCAGTTTATCCATCTCCCTTTAATTAACACCTCGATCTGTGTCCGATAATCTTTGGCCTGGTTCTATTTTTGTCACTACTTCCTATCTCATTATTTGTAAACTCTCCAGAGCCAGGATTTTGACTGTTTGTACAGGACCTGGAACTGAAATATTTACAGCAATAATTTAGGATCCTTTGCATTGCAGTGATAGAAATGCTATCACAGACACAAAATCTGTACAGGAATTTATTCATTAACAGGATAACTTTAAGGTTCTTACCAGTTTAATTTGTGCTCTGTCGCTGGACTTTTGGTCCAACACTCTGAGTTTCTTCTTCTGGATTCGGGCGTTTCCCTGCACTAATGCCAGTACCAAGGGACGTTCTTCCTGATAAATTTAAAACCAGTATTTACATTAAGACTCTACTGCACCTTCACACATTCAGGAAAAACATTTCGGGTTTTTTGTTGTTCTTTAAATTACCTGCTTGCAATAAGTGCGATTGCTGATTGTCTCCATGAGCATAGTGTAAGATACTACTTGCTTGACAGTAACCTGTTCAGATACAGTAGATAATTATTATAATAAATAACATATAGAACTGCAAGCAAGTGTGCAATTACATTCTTTACAACAACAAAAAGGAGCCAACTGATTTATTTTCCATCGTCAAGAAAAATCCTGCTAGAAACCATCCTGAATGGAGTTCTTATGCAAAAGAAAAAAAAAAAAAAAAAGCCTGATGGCCATCTAGAGCAGTTAAATATATATGCACAGAGAATAATATTAAGTGCATACATATTTATGCATTCAATTTGCAAGAAGCAGAAAGCTTATATATCCAAACACTTTAATTCTCAGTTGTTACAAATTTTAACATCTGTTCTGCCAAGTCTCCTAATCCTTTTTATTATTCTGTTATAGCAACACTAGCAAATCTTTACCATAACTAAACTGTGGGTAAAAAAATGCAAGTAACTTAAAAAAAGATACAAACTATTTTCTGGCTCAGGTAAACTATCCACTGGCAACCTTCACACTGAGCACTCTGCATAAACACTGCAAACCTGCAAAAGCAGTTGCAAGGTTTCTTATTCTGAACATTTGTGGCATTCCAGTTATGTTCTAGGTGCTTAAATAAAACACAGATTACAGTCTTTCATGATCAGTAAACCTCTTAAAACTGCAAAGAAATAAACATTTGCACTAAATTTGATTGCAACTTTGATCCATCACAAAACCACAGCTCAACTTTCTGTATAAAGTAACAAAAATTTGCCACCACAGTATGAAAATGTCCACACAAAACTGTGGAAATTTATTATATATGAAAAGAGTGGTAGTGAAATCAGGGAAAAGATAACATGCAAATTTTGCTATCAAATACACAAACCGAACTTCTTTCTTTCAGTATCTTTCCTTTAAAGTAACCTAGGATAACGTTTATTAATTTTTGTTTAGTCACATTTGTGATCCCTCCCACTCCAAACATACAAATACTGTTCTAGATGAGCATTTTAGAGATAAAAGTGCCAAGACAAACAAGTTCACTCTAAGAAATAATTTTTATGTTTCAAGGACAGAAACAAGGCCAGTTCCAGTTGTAGACAGCAGCTGTCACCAAAAATCTATCCAGGTTATTTTGCTGTTTTGTCTGTTTTTCCACAGGTGCAAGGACTTGGAGATCCTCTACAGACAGGCACTGCCATAATACCTTGCTGCTGAACTCCGCTTGCTCCTGAATGAGAATCTCCCAGGGCACATGGCTGAACAACTGTATGACTATCACCAGTTCCCAGCTGAGCTCCTGGAGAGGCAGAAAAAAAAGACTTAAACATAACAGAAGACATAATTCCAGTTCTGGGATTTTAAATGTTGGGGTTTTTTACCCTCCTCTTCTAGAGGCAGACTTTGATTGTGTCTTTTTTTTTTTTTTTTAAACACAAACCACCTCACAACAGGTCCCAAACTTTCATGCTTTTGTCGTTCCAAATACACACTTGCAAATTCAGATGAATGCACAGTAACCTCCTACAAAATGGATACATTTCTGATGTGAAAAGTGCAAGTCCATGTATACATCTAGGTATATATGTATACACTTTAAGGAGAAAAAGAGCACACATAATGTTCATTTTTTAAACAAAGTAAGTCCTTCCTGTCTTCTAAATTTCTGAACTTAAAAGAAATAAAAGCTCAAGCACCCAGCTTTAAGAAGTCTAGACTTTAATTCTTTGAGAGGAACTGTACTGGCCGAGAGCAGTAGGTCTATCTCCCTCCGCAATCTGCTTCTAACTTTCACTAAAGCCTACGGAGAACACAAAGCCAGTAAATTTCCAGTTCTGTTGCATCCTTTTACAATGAGGAGTCCAAGGTGTACACAGTATTCAAGATGTTGATGCACCATGAATTTATGCAATGTTAATACTGGTATTATTTTTATTTTTTTCTTAGTAACTATTTAATGGTAGTCTTCGTATGTTAAAATAAGAATGTTAGTAGTTTAAAGTAATTTTCAGCAAAACTATACGATAAATTCAATATTAAGTTCTTTCAGATACCATCAACCATATTGTTGTTGACATTATGGTAGAATTAAATTCCAGTAAGCAATCTAATGCTAGCATTAGGAAACTTCACAAATTAACAGTTCTGACTTGAAAACTCACAAATCACTCCCTATTACAAATATCAGGATGCTTTTAGGCTTCTAGAAGAAAATCACCTTCAAATGCTGTAGAAATCAAACTGTTTGATACACGCTAAGAAGTAAGTTTCGGGGGGGGGGGGGGGGGGGTAACAGGTTAAAAAATTCTTACATGTTTGAGACTAAAAAAAGTCTAATACAAATACTACCGAACTTAGTGAATAAATTTGAAAATGTTTGTGACTTGCACTGAAAACTGTCTTGTGAAAACATTTCTTTCTTATAATCCACAATGCTAAGGGCATTAATAAATAAGTTTGTGCTGTTCAGTTCCGATAATTCTATGTATTGAAAGAATTTGACTGACCTCCTGTATTACCACAACCAGAAATGCTTTCTCCTGGTGAATAGCCCATTAGGCCACCATTTCCATTTCCATTTGGATTAGAAGGCACTGTTGCAAGAAGACCTAAGCAACAAAATAAAGTATATACCCATAAAGAAAGACAGTAAAAAAAAAAAAAAAAAAAGTATAGTATGCTTTTTTCCTCATGATAGCCAATTCTCCACCCTCACCCTGAGTGGTTTACCTTTATAAAAGGAGAACATCTCTATCTTGCCTACTTTTGTGATTTGCCAAGTAATTTTAGTTCACAGTTACTTAACAGGCATTTCCTACATAATATTCTGCATACCTTTCCCAATGTTCATGAGTTACACGTATTTGCTGTGTTGCGCTGAAGCGCAACACATCTTGATTCAACATCCAATATCTGAACATTCTGACTGCTTACACCTTCCTGAGCAATGCAAGTGCACGTGGTTTACCCCTCAGAGCAAAGGGGATGGTCTTTCCTAACTAGAAAGGATGCTACCAGAGGTTGCTTTGGTCTCTATTTAAGCAACAGCATTTGCAAATGCAAATTCAGTATGGCTGAAGTTATGAATCACATTATTTTTATAATCACTGGTATTAGAACCTATCTATACAAAAGTACCTGAACACACAGAAGACCTAGTTTAAACAAAAAACTTCCAATAACCCACAGAAAAAAAATTACGGGTGAGATTTGGAAAGAGGCACTCCACTTAAGCTTTCTTCTCTTTCTTGGTTACATCTCATATTTTCATTTATTTGCATATAAAACCCTGGTCACCACACTGAGCTCGCATCTGATTACTGCTGCTATGGGACAAAATCATTATTTTCTATGGGACAAAATTATTATTTTCTAGAAGGTGAGAGAAGTTTTCAAATAAATAAAGCCAATAGCCTATAACCATACCCAGTCCTCTGTATCGTGAAAGCTGCTGGTAGATTTGTTTCATCCTCTCAATATTCAGACGGCTTGCCTCTGCATGATTTACCATTGGTTTGGGATAATTAACTCCTATAATACATTTTGCAGCCTTCTGGATGCTCTCTGGGGCATTCCAAGGATCATAGATGTACTTTGCAGGGAAACCTCTAAGTACTGGCAAATAACGTCTTTAAAAGAAAAAAAAAATAAATTAAAAAAGGTCACTAAGTATAAAGCTGCTTCACAGTTTAAGCAACTTTCATGGATCACTGCAATTTCTGGAATGTGAGTTACCTGATATAATCCCCGTTTGGGTCAGTTCTTCTGCCAAAACCCACTGGACAGTAGCAGTGAAAAAACTGCTGAAAGAAGGAACTACAGGATAGCCACATCCAGCTTCCAGCATTCACACTCCAATCTGCGTCAAGTAAGAGCTCTTCAAAGACCTGAAGAAATTAGAGCAACAAGTTAGTCTGAACATGGCACACCTTCGAGACACCTGCTTTTTCAGGAATTGTTCTGCATTTCTGGTTTCAGCAGAGGAAACCCAGCTCTTCAACACAGCAACACTCCTTACGTGGCAACATTCACAGAATGGTCAGTACGCAATGGCAAAGACTTACCCAAATGCCAGACTTAAGAAGTAAAGTGTGATAGCCCTTTTGGCTTTTACCCTGGAAAAAACTTGTAAACATCTGCTACAACCAAAAAAAGTTACACATTCTTGCATAAACACATCCTTAAAAAAATAAATCCTCAAAGGATGGCTGGAGCCTCATTGCTTGCAAGTGGCATTTGTTGGTTTCAGAAGAGTTGCTTCATCACGTTACAACTGAGTTTCAGAGTAGCACAAACATTCAGAAGTTGCATCCTTGAAGGCCAATAGTTAATCTAGTAAGTCAGTTTTGATGATGCACACTTAAATTCCTCAAGGTATATGAGCCACCAAGCATGCTGAGGAACGGTGGGACAGATAATGACCTCTGGTCTGAAGACAAAAAAAGGTGATCTCTCTCTCTCTCTCTCCATATATTCAGTAAGGCATTCATTCTACACACTGACTAAGTGTTACAAAAGTATCTTTATCTAAATATCTGCAACTACTTGGAATAAAGTGTTTGTTTTGAAAAAATAAGATTTATTGCAAATCATTTTTAAAAAACTTTTTAAATAGAAAATGACTAATAATGTAAGATCTATAGATAAGCACTAAGTGTTAGCACACAACTGTTCCACTAGATGCTGCCATGCAGTAAGACATTGGAAATAACACCGTTGCAGAAGGCCAGATTAACTTTTGCTAGCAACAGATGTATGAATTAAATGTCCTTCCATGGCACAAGTCTGGGCTCTCCATATATCTGTATTATTTTAAAAGTAAGAAAAAGTTGGTGTTTATCTGTAATACACAGTTTTATCATTTGGCTGAGTCACCTATGTATGTGCATCTTCCAGGTCTTTATCAACTGCAAAAGGAAAATTCCCAAAGCAGCTTATGTCCGTTGTGTAACCAAGATAATTTTTTTTTTTAAATGAAAGGTGTTTACTTACAACTGATCTGTTAAGAAAGGTGAAATTCCATAAGATTATACACATATATAAGTGAGGTCACAATCCTGATAGCAAGTAAATTATTTTTTAGATTTCAAAAATATAAAACTATTTTTAATTGATTATAGTTGCTCAGTAAAAGATGTGCTACCCTTCTGAAAATGTAAAACTGATTCAAAGGCTGAGATTAAACTATTCCATTACCTTCTTCAAGAGACTGACATTTGTAATTTGAACTTCAGCATCTCTTCAAAGGGATACTTGTATAGAAATTAATTGCACTGAAACTTCAGCCAAATCATGTTGCCCATACTACACTTCTAACATTGTGTGAAGGTACAGAAATTGCTGAAAGGAAATTCCCAGCTTTTAGTTTTCTCCCTTTAATTCCCATGGTGCTTCCCCTTCGCAGGGAAGCAGACATGAGATGCGAATAGGCAGTGTTCACACAGTATGACTGGAAAGAAATTTCAATTACAAAAACAATCCATGTTTATTTGCCAATTTAGAAAGAGATCTCAGATTTAAAAGAATTGCAGCCCTATTCTGACTGCAAGAAACACTTTAATATTCCAATAAAAGAGAGCATTCAACAGGCAAAACTTAACCACCACAGGTTTATGAGAACCAATTTAATTTTCAGCACAGTTTAAGGTTAAAAATTCAACTTATACCACACAGTAACAATAATTCTCAAATGACTATTTGAAACTTTAAAAGGCACTTTAAGGGATTCAAGAATAAGAAACAATACCTTCATTCCTTCTTCCCAGCTAATCCAGAGGTCACCTCGAGTCAAAAAGCATGCTACAGCATGTCGGGCTAAATGGTGAATCCAGCCTTCTTGACGAAGCTGCGTCATAATTGCATCAATCCAAGGAAAACCTGTCCTGCCTTCTGCCCACTTGGCCAAAGCCTCAGGATTCTTATCCCATGGAATTTGAACACAGATAGGATTCCCCTCCATTTTATCAAACCGTGGATTATTAGTCGCTGCCGTGTAGAAAAATTCACGCCATAACAGCTGGCCATAGAGGGAGAGGGGAGGGGAGCTGTTCTTTTTCACCTGAAGATCACCATTAAAGGAAAACATTTTATTAGGAGAAGTAGTAGAGAAAAATCATGGCAGCTAAGAATGTGTAGTTGACTACGTAGAAATCATACCTTTTTGTAGAGATCCGTTAACTTGAAATAAAAGAGACGACAGGACAAACAGCCAAAGCGGAGGTAGGGACTAAGCCCTGTGGGGCTTGCCAGAAGGGAATTTGCATTCATTCGTGGTCTTTCAAAGTTTGCTACCCAAGCCTTAAAAAAAAAAAAACCAAACAAACAAACAAACAACAAAAAACCAAAAAGCATACAGCACTATCAGTCTACAGGCTAGGTAGCAACTTGTAAACATGAAGGGAGAAATCACGCACTGCCTATAGCTGAATCCAGACACTGGGCAGATGATCACGTTACCTACAGTATCTAAGAATTCCTGTTGAATCAATGGAACCTCTAGAAGATAATTGATCTTAATGCAGAAGCATGAACTATCTATCTATCTATCTATCTATCTATCCCTTTCTTTTAAATACAGAGGAAACCTAGACACCTAGGAATACCTTTGCTTTTAGATGAATTCCCCTTCAAAGTTATAAAAAGTATGTTTAAAGTAACATTACTTCCAAAGAAAAAAATAACTTTTTTTTGTAGAAAATACCATGACAGACTTTCTCTAAAAAGCAAATTAGAAGACAACCTGCTATTATCTTTTAAAACTAAGAAACAGCAACTTGATTTATATCATTATACTGCAGCCTTGAGTTCTAGTTTCTGGTTTTAATTTTTAAAAAAAAACTTTTACATTCCATTACAAAGATTAACCACGTTCCCCAGGTATGTCACACTTGCAATCATTTGAAACACACCTTTCGTTCTAAATGTCTTTCCAATCGTGTGAGAGCTTCTGTTTCTCCCCCTGGCCATACTGCAGAAGGCAAACCGTCTGTGTCAAAACCTGAAAAACAAATTGAAACAAGGAAATTCCTTGTTTGCTTATACTGCAGGGCAACACAATTCTAGCATATTGATACTCAACTACATTTTATTGTATCTTGAGAATAAGCTTAAGTTGGACACACAGCAAAGTACGAGTTTTAAAACAGTATGCAACCAAGTCTTATCAAAGCACATTCAATGCCTCTAACTTACAGCAAAATCCAATTTTTACTTATACATTTACATTAATTTACATTACAATTTTTACATGCTGAATGGTCTTACTTAAATTCCACTTCTGATTTTTGCACAAAGTGATTTTTCTATCATTTTTCAAATTATTTTCAATTTCTCAGCTCTGCAATATGTGGGCTATCCCAAAACCATAACTTTTTTTTTTTTAATTACTACCAAGCAGCAACAATTGCTCTTGTAATTTACAGAATGTCTAAAAACTTCTTCAATCAAGTTAAAAGCATGAGTGCTATATCTTCAGAATATGGCTAGGTTTTATTGACCTTGGCTTAAAAAACAGATGGGGATTATTGTCAATTTGATGATAAACAGATACTTGAACTACAAAAGAAAGATGAGAAGAAGCTAACAAGATTTCTTCCACACTCCTACACCTCTCCCAAGACTGTTCATCATGTGCATGAGATAATGTCTGCCTCTAGTTTAAACACTGTATAGCGAGATCTTCTCTTCTTGAAAAAGTCTTTGTAAGCACAGGTCTGTTGTATAACAGTTCAAACGGACTAAAGAGAGCAGCCAGAGCTTAGCCAAAACCTGTCCAGACCCTTTTGTTCACAAAATGGAGGTCATACCACATTTGCTTGTATTTCATGGCAGGGGGGGAACAGGAAAGGGTTGAGAGGGATTCACAGGACAACAGCTTGATACTATTTCTTAAAGTCAAATTTACAAAAATAAGACTTTTTTCATCCCCAAGAAGCTTTTAAAATGATTAATTGCCTTATTATTATTATCTTTTTTTGGCACTGCAAGACAAGAGGGTTTTTTCAATTAACTTATAAAATGACAGAAAGATACCAAATGCATTTAATACAAAACGAAGTATCAGAGACTATTACTGTTAGTAGCTTAATGATTACTTGGTATCATGGGAAAGTGGCTATGCTGTATTATGAGAAGCCAAACAGTACTCAGTGTGGTTTGATCTATCTGACCTCCCATTTAAAAGAAAACAACTAAAATTTACAGAGCCCATTATCCTTTTTTATGTCATAATTGGCATAAGTTTAACAGTTAGCCATAAGCAGAACCTCTCTCGCAGTTAGTTTAAGTATTATGCTTTTAGTGGTAGATTACATCTTACTCGTGTCACAACGTCAAAGCAATCCTAGAACATACCTAGCTCTTCAAGTGATGGGACACCGTATTTCTCGTCATGATCATCAGAAACTGGAGTAGTACATTTTTCCATTACTTCTGGGGTTATAGTCTCCACTGGCATCTCCAGTGGTTCCATTCTACTAATTAGGGTCTGGAATCGCTTGTAAGTAAGAGGAGGTTGTCCTCCATTTAGTTCTATTATTCTGGATTTTAAAATTTTTAAAAAAGAAAAAAAGAAAAAAGTATGTCAGACAATAGTATATAACAATTTTTTTATTTTAATAAAATATACACACTTATACATACAAAGAAATATCTTCTTACCTGCCTCCAGCATATTACATAAAATCATAGATATACATGGTAATCCAAACAGTTTGAACTTTAATTTTAACATCCATTTTGCTATTGTTGGGTCACAACATCCTCACACAACGTTACAGACTTGGGGAAGAGTGGCTGGAAAGCTGCCCAGCGGAAAGTGACCTGCGGGTGTCAGTTGATAGCTGGCTGAATACGATCCAGCAGTGTGCCCAAGTGGCCAAGAAGGCCAATAGCATCCTGGCCTGTGTCAGAAATAGTGTGGCCAGCAGGAGTGGGGAAGTGATTGTGCCCTTGTACATACCTCAAATACCGGGTTCAGTTTTGGGCCCCTCACTACAAGAAAGATATTGAGGTGCTGGAGCGTGTCCAGAGAAGAGCAACAAAGCTGGTGAAGGGTCTGGAGAACAAGTCTCATGAGGACTGGCTGAGAGAACAGGGGTTGTTTAGCCTGGAGAAAAGGAGGCTGAGGGAAGACCTTGTTGCTCTCTACAGCTACCTGAAAGGAGATGGTAGCGAGGTGGGTCTCAGTCTCTTATCCCAAGTAACAAGCAATAGGACAAGAGGAAGCAGACTTAAGTTGCACCAGGGGAGGTTTAGGTTGGATATCAGGAAAAATTTCTTTACTGAAAGGGTTGTCAAGCATTGGAACAGGCTGCCCAGGGAAGTGGTGGAGTCACCATCCCTGGAGGTATGTAAAACACAGGTAGTTGTGGTGCCTGGGGATGTGGTTTAGCGGTGGACTTGGCAGTGTTACGTTAGCAGTTGGACATGATGATCTTAAAGGTCTTTTCTAGTTAAAATGATTCTATGATTTTGTCCTTTTTTCCTCACTAGGGAGACATATAAATTAACTGTTTATATCCAAGTCAATTATTCTTCATTCCTGGATTGAGGAAAGTCCCTCAAGAATGATATAAGTAATGAATATGGATATCTCAAGGCAAAGAAAAATACAGATCAGCAAAGCAAATGAGAGATCATAGCTACATAAAGATAGATCCAAGTCACCGACAAGACTATGCTATTTGCATTAAAAAAATCCCACTCTGTTCTGGAACAGCAGCCTTACAACTGTCTTAACATAGGGAAAAATTAAGGTGTAGTTTATAGACAATGACTGTTGTAAAAACAGCTTCTGTATTTTGCACTATCACCTTAAATATATCTAAAAAACTCAGAAACAGGAAAACTTCAAAGAAATAATTTACAAAGCGGCAGATGGGACCAACTGTTCACTTGGGGGACAGTGCTTGGGCAGGGACGGAAGAAAAAGAATTTTAAGTTTAGGATTAAAAAAATCCCAAACAAACCAAGTATTGGTTTCAAAACAATAAATAATTCCTTTTCTCCTATATGTCTAGCTGCCTCTCATACAATGGCTTGTAACAGAATAAAATGGGCACCTACCACAATAAATCACTCAATGTTAAGAGAAGCCAAGTCATACTTTTGAATAGGTTGCGGATTATGTTTCTATAATAGGGAGCTAATACTAATCCATTTAAATAGATCCATGTAAAAATATAAACAAGATATTAAGTAAGGCAATGTAGGGATTTCCAACAATCCCTAATTACCTACTGGATACATAACTGATACGAAACAGTTCTTCAAAAATAAAATACTTTCTGATAACTTTTGTACAGCAAGTGAAATAAGGACAAAAATCTAACAACAGAAATAAACAACAACGGATCTTATGTGGGAGAAGTTACAGGCATGTTTTGAGTAACTTCATTATAAAGACAGATAATTAACATGACCACTATTTTCAAAAGAACCCCAAAACAAAAGAGTATTTCACAGTTATGTATAATTTCTTGGAGTTGCAAAATTCTACTCAGTATGTAATAAAATTTGAATGGATAAAAGAGAAACAAAACAAGTTTGTAGTCTTCCTACCTATGAAGTGCTCTGCATAGGAAGTAGCACACAATATCTAATCAAATACTACATAAAATTCAGACTTGCTTTTTTTTTTTCTTTTTAAAATCAGAGGTAATGGTAACTTACTTGTCTAGGTCATATAACGTATGGGAAATTCGAACAATGACCTCCACTCCAGCTTCACTAGCCAGCTTCTTAATCGCTGCATCTCTTTCCTTCCCAAATGGTTCAGAATCATATTCAATAGAGAGTTTTGCAATATTCCATTCCTGCAACACAAACCGAACGTGATCCTTCAGCAAGATGGCTGCTTGAGGGAGGGCGAGGGAAAGGTGAACGGGAAGAACAGGAACAAGATGGAACACCAATTATTATTACCTGTGGATAGTTGTCAGATATACACAAAGACCCAAAATACATTTAGACACCCAGACTCACAAAAATAAAGTCCAATGTTTTCGCACCTAAGTAGGAATCAGGCATAAAAAAGCCTCTATTTGCCTGTCCCATTGCTATGGGTGAACACAGTAGTGAGAAAACTTCTGTGCAAATTTTGAAAACTCAGCTCTAACTTTAGGATCCATGTACCTTACGAGACGCAACAGAAGGGAAAGATGACAGAGCCCGTCTTCTGGACATTAATCAGCAGAAGTATCTTGCTCTGCAGAAAATCTTTTCACGTATGCCTGTCAGCTTTAACAGCAGAACTGAAGTGTTGGGTAGGGGGAGGGTGCAAAATACCCCCCCTCCCTAAAACCAAACACCACACATTTTCCTTTTCCAAAGCCCTATCCCTCACCCACCAGAATGGACAATCTTCAAATTCTCAATTAAAAATAAATAAATAAATACATAAATAAAGAGAATGCCTTCAAGTCTATTATCCTTTGTGTCACAGATGCTGTTACCAAGGCCAACAGTAAAGTAAAAGGTGGAGGGGGAAAAGTGAAGAAAGGGATCACTAACAGCGAAGGCTGAACTAACAGCTAAGGCTTCTGCAACAGCAGGAAACTAAAAAGGTTGCTACTGTTGCTACTATGCACACAGTTATCCTAGAAAGCCATTCTGTCAGTCAAACTCAGAAATACCTTTCTAATCCATCAGAATCTTAATCTGTTGATTTAACACACCAGCCAGACTATTTCAGAGAACTGGATTTACACCAAAGAGCCAAGGGGAATTCTATGCCGTTCAACTACGGTGCTGTTTCACTTCTGGACTCTCTAGTTCTCTCCTAGATGAAGCCCAGATACAACCCTGGGGACAGGTGATTCCAAGGAGTGCTTGCTCTTTGTAAGAAGGCTTGGCTCCTTCCATCGTTAAGTCTGCCAAGAATGACCCAGCAGGCCCTGAATCCTCAAGCAACCTCCTACACCCTCATACAACATTTATTTCCCATTTCATAATGCAAAACCACTGTCTGACAGGTTGCAGCACATACTTTGCTAAATCTTTCTTTCCTCTGGCATATAGAAAAGAAAACCATAAAAAAGTACCCAAGAGTCAGAGTCACATCCCCAGGGGAGCCAAGGAACTCTGAGACAAGCGCTACGTGATGTGAATACACCCAGATTACATCAGCATGAGCTAGGCACTTCAAAGAAACATGGACACAAACAGCTCTGCACATACTGCTGGATGCTTTTAGCAACACTGATGCACTCCAACAATTAGAGATTGTTCCAATTCTATTTGCTTTATCAAGCCAGTCCCAAAGAGCTAGAGATACAGAGCAGACCAGGACAAACTGAAGAGAACAAGGCAAGAACCAACCAAAACTTGACTACTTCAAGTTAACCAACAGGCACCAAGTAGGTGCCTGCTACTAGTAGAAGTTGCATCTCTGCAGTCAGATGGAACCACTATCCTCAAGTTACTTAAAAAATATATATATACCCAAACAAATTAAAGTAATTTTGCAAAGACCTGCCAAGTCCACTAGTGAAAATATTCTGTCTCTATGCACTACTCAAGAGGATGACAGCTTACCACTGCTATTGGTAGCAGCACTGTTAGCAAGTACTGCTAAGAACATGGGACACTGAATTCAGTGTCTTAAGGGAAGCAAAGCTGCTCTGAAGGACTGCAGAGAAGAAAGCACAGTTGTATATATATAAAGAACATGGGACACTGAATTCAGTGTCTTATGGGAAGCAAAGCTGCTCTGAAGGACTGTAGAGAAGAAAGCACAGTTGTATACACACACACACACACACACACACACGAATGAAAGAGCCTAAAGGTCTTTGAGGTCTTTTGCAAGGATAAAGACAGGTCAGTGCTCTGCCTTCGGAAGGAATTGTCCTTCAGCCTGTGGTAAGGAGAACCCTACCAATAAACAGTTGCGAAACATTCATTCCCAGAAAATTCACAGATGCTGGCATCTGTGATAGAGCTCCTGACACAAGGCTCTACAGAAGTTCCACTATCTCCTACCACTATTTAAAGTTATCTTTTCCCAGCCAAAAGACACCTACATGTGTTCTTCAGGGTCAGGATCATCACTCTACATTAAGACATTTAATGAGGATGATCTGAAAAGCCTGGTTCAGTGTTATATGCCCTTCACTGCACTGCTAATGCCTGATACAGCTACTGCTCTGGCAAAAGAAGCTGGGAGATTAATGATTGATAGAGGCATGTTCCAGGTAGTCTTCAGCCAAAATCTGAAGAAGTTTTCAAGAGCTTCAACAATGCCTTTTATTTGTTCAAGTACAGAGGATGCTCCTGAAAAGCCTCTTACTGAACAAATATATGACAAAGACACATTTTGGTAATTTGAAGAACCAGAAGACAGACAGATATGAAAGTTCTTTTCTGATTGCTGTACACTATCTATACGACAAACTATTTTCATTACCTTCTCAGCACTAAAATTAATATTCTGAAAACATGTTACTCCAATGCTGTTAGGCATAGAAAGATCAGCCTAGTAGCAAGATCTGAAACAGGAGTTGTCAATGTAGCTATTAAAGTATTTAAGGAAACTTGTCACAGGTCACAAATCCAGAGGGCAACACACACAACAGCAAGACCTTTGCCCCTATTAAATGCAATCAGACCAAATTTGTCAGGTAGATACAACAAGCTCAAATATCTGGGGGATTGCAAGCAGCAACTAACGCCACAGCACTCTGCAGAAAACTCTTCACTGAGGGGAAATAAAGAAAAGACCAGAATACGATCAAGTCATCATTTCACAACTAAAGCACAAGAACGAAGATGGAAATCTGGGTTTTGGTTGAGTTTTCAGCTTGGTATTGAAGACTTGGAAATAAAAATCTTGAACAAATTACCTCTTTGTCAAGAGGTATTTTTCCCCCCTCCAGTTTTGCTCATCTTGGTCACCTCAATCTAGTCATTCCGTAAAAACTTTTAAAATCAATCTGTAAAGTGTTAATTTTACTATTTTATTATAGTATTGTTACCTTAATACACTATTATCCATGGAAGATAAATTAATATCAGTAACAAACCCTCACAGCTTTAATTTGCTCAATAATAAGACCTTCTCCCACAAAAGCCTTAAACTTGACTAGAAATTGCTTTTTACCTGCACTACGCTTTTACCAAGCCTACTACCAGCAAAGAGTTTATTAAATCACTTTTAATGGCAAATAAACAGCCACAGCAGGTATTTGGCCTAAACAGAACATCGCTTTTACAGATCAGGCTTTGAACCTGGATTCATGTACACAGAATTATATTTCAGTATTTCAAAGGAGACCTGGAAAAGAAAATTTAGTACATACAGTACCTACACTTAGCACATCATTAGAAATAAATTCCATTTCTGGAAAGAAAGAAACAAAAAACTATAAAGTCTAAAAGCAACTCAGTTGGGTTAGCGATACGCATGTTAGAGGGGAAAAAATTAAAATCTAACAAAAACAACCTTAAAGAGAAACTGTAAGGACACCAGTAAGTATTTGCATGGATAACAACTTGCACTGAAGTATACAGTACAGGAAGTATTCCTGGTTGAAATTATTTTGTCATATTTATGGACAGAAACAACAACTGTAAGGTATCATTTACCTTAAAAAGTCTGGGGAAAACATCTGCTGGCTGTCCACGAATAACAAACAACCGTGAGTTCAGTTTCCGTAGATTGGCATCAAGATCCTCAAGACACTGAAGCAGGAATCTGCAAGGAATTGCAAAGAAACATTTATTTTCTGAGGGAAACAAAATGATTTCACAATAGAAAAAGGTAACTAAGATGAACAATCCAACAAGGATTATCACATCTTCAGTATTTGGGCGATGTATGCATGTTCACATCATAATTACACTTAGCTGAAAGTAGTTCAATACAATATAATACATTAAGTGATACGTAACTCAGAAAACCAACTGCACCGTCATTTCAGTTTTCACCTCAACACTGTTCAACTCTGGAATGGACTAAAACATACTCAAGTCTTACCTAGAAGTATCTTCTCACTTTAAAGAAAAAAGTACACCACAGGGAAAAAAAGAAACAAACAACAAAAACCAAACAAACAGAATATCAGCTGTTGGCATACTGCTACTAAACTTAATCCAAGTCCTTCTTACAACACAGCAGCCTGAACTGGTATGAGGTTTTTAGTAACAGAGGACTACATGGTCACAACTATCCCTTTGGCCTTCATTTATAAAAATAGCCCTCTATATAGTAAACAGTTTTATACATCTTGGCTGTAACCTCACCTGAATTATTTAATGAGCAAATCGGCAAACAAGTTTTTTTTTAAAAAAAGCCAGGGGGAGGAATGGGGTGCTGCAAACCTGCAAGTCTAAGAGGAACAGGTAGTTGCACAAAGGATGCTGAGATAGGTTCATATATGCAAAGATTTATTAGTGAGTACAGTAACTAAAAATAACTCCAATTGTGAAAATTGTTTGGGGGAAGAATTTTTTTTTTTTTTTAAAGAAAGAAGAGGAAAAATGGAAACTCTCTTTTGCAGCCAGCCAGAAAGAGAGATGCTGGAGGTCACCAAATGAGTGCCCTTCCCCTGGACTCCTCTCCAGTGTAACAAGTGGCTCCTCTGCAATACTTTTCCTTGTAGTAACGTTATAGTTTTCACCAGGAGCTGCTCAAACCCTGTCAGCTGTTCGTTCTTACAATGCTGCTGGCACTCACTAAAGTGCAAGTTGAACAGGCAGCTGCTAAGTCAGAGCCCACCAGTCATTAACCTCTGTGCACATATGTTAGTGGATCCCCTGCTATAAACCAAAAGCTACTCTCAAAAGTGGAAAAAAGAGGAGATTCCCACAGTGCAGGCCACTATTCCCCAGAGCCTGCTGTAACAACACTATACGCAGGGCAAGGACACAAGGATAACAGCAGCAGCCCGAGAGCACCGCGGGGAAAGCAGTGCTACACAGGCTGCACCCACAGCCCAGGTGAAAGGGTGCTGAGCTCCCAGGGAAGGGTAGATTATACCACCACAGCACCCAGAGCATTGCAAAGGCAAAGGAACTGAGCAACCAGGCTTACTAAAAATCAGGAGTCCATAAAACACCTAGGGTTTTAAGAATGAATCCTAAAAATAACCAGTTACAATGAAAACGCTACACCTAGGAGGGATATAGCATATATGACTGTTGTAAACCTACTAACGTTTTTTACATTTTCTTGAGATTTAGCAATGTATGTGCTGCCTC